ATACAAGTACAAAACTGATAGGTGAGTCGGCCACTAAAGAAGGGAAGATATCATAACATAATACCCGCACACACACAAGTTCTGCAAATCAATTGCACGACTAGTAATAGAAGATGCCTTTCGGAGTTGCAATGACAACATACGAGAACATAATAAGTCAATAGTAAGAATTGCAGTTGTCGCAACTCCCATGCATAAGGTAAGATAACAAAGGCCATAAAAATTGTTGGAGCATGAAACTGTCAATCAGAAAGGATGGAAATCAGGCAGCTAGATTAAGAGTTTTCTATAATTAGAAGTTTTTTTTATTTTCAATATCTTTATTCTGATATATTTCCCTTTTAGCTGAATATTTAGATTAGGAATATGTATTATTAATTTACCTAAAATAGATTATATGCACATTATTTTGTCCCTAAAATAGATTGTAAGATTGTTATTTAATGGAATGAAAGCAAAGGGAAAAGGCATCGAGCCTCAGCCTATTTTTCTCAAAACTTTGACATGGTATCAGAACCAAATTTTTGCCCTAACCACCGGTAGTCATTGAAGGACCGTCGAGGCTCCCTTCCCGTCGGCCTTCTTGCGGAAAGGGAGGAACTATTTCTTTGTCTTGATTTGTCCATCTAAGGATTTTCGTCCGCTGCGACAACTTTGTCCGCTTTCGATTGTCTTCTTCTATCTCCCGCGTCCGGTTCCGTCTCCAGCGTTTGATTCTAGCTACGATCTGCGATCCTGTCCATTTGTTATCTCGTTTTTGATTCAAGTCTCCTCCGCAATCTGCGATCTTGTTCACTTCGTTTGCTTCGCCCACTTCGGATCTCCTTCACTAGCCATCACTGCTTCAGTGACATCTTCAACTACTTCTTTCGCTTCGGCTTCGTCCGCTTCGACTTTGGCTTCTTTGTCGCACCCAAGGATTGAAGGCTTTGACACTCCTTCCTAGACCCACGGCTTCGACATCTCGGCTTTAGCACATTCGGCGTGAAGATCAGGGAACAAATCGTCCTTCATCATCGCAGGAAGAATCAATAGAATTTGGATCGTATAACAGGACGCAGATCGTACTTGTAGATTATGATCAATAGCATTTGGATCAGGACACAGATCCTACTTGTAGGCTATGATCGAAAGCATCTGGATCGTGTAACTGGATCCTATTTGTGAGCTATGATCGCTAGCATTTGGATCAGGACGCGGATCCTACTTTTAAGCTATGATTGATAGCATCTGGGTCGTGTAACTGGAGCCTCTTTATGAGCTATGATCGGTAGCATTTGAATCAGAACACAGATCCTACTTAAAGGCTATGATTGACAGCATTTGGATCGTATAACTGGATCCCATTTGAGGGCTATGATCGATAGCATTTGGATAGTGTAACTGGAAGCGGATCCTTCTTGTGGCTATGATTTGAATTTCTGGGCGACAATGATAAATGATTTCATATTTTTCTTTGCTCAAATCATGTTATGGTTCAAGAGTTGTCTCTGAGGCTTCGACATTCTCAGCTTTGGCATTTTCAGGCTTTGGCATTTTCAGGCTTCGGCACTTTCATGCTTCGGCACTTTCATGCTTCGGCACTTTTGGGCTCCGACACTTTTAGACTTCGACATTTTTAGGCTTCGGCGTTTTTAGGCTTCGACACTCGAGCTTTGGCACTCTCGGGCTTTGACCTTTCAGGCTTCGGCATTTTGGGCTTCAACATTTTTAGGCTTCGACACTTTTGGACTTCGGCACTTTCAGGCTTCGGGCTTTGGCACTTTTGGACTTCGGCATTCTTAGGCTTCGACAAAACTATGACTTCGGTACTCTTGGGCTTCGGCATTTTCAGATTTCGACACTCTGAGGCTTCGGCACTCACGACTTGAGGATTTTTTGTCCCGACAATGTTATCAGCTCCTTGTTGGCAAACTAATGCTTCCTGATCTGTCAGCATCAATTTGAGGGGAGATGTCAATCAGGAAGGATGAAAATCATGAGGCTAAATTAAGAGTTTTCTATAATTAGAAGATTACTTATTTTTAATATCTTTATTATGATATATTTCCCTTTTAACTGAATATTTAGATTATGAATATGTATTATTAAGTTACCTAAAACAGATTATATGCATTTTATTTTGTACCTAAAATAGATTGTACGATTGTTATTTAATGGACGATTGTTTACGATTGTTATTTAATGGAATGAAAGTAAAAGGAAAAGGCATCGAGCCTATTCAGCATTCAACCTATTTTTCTCAAAACTTTGACAGAAACCAACAATAAACCAAAATAATAATAGAAGAGGGGAATGACAGGAATGGAGAATTTTCCACAGCAATTAGGACAATAAAATATTTTACTGTACTGGCATAAAACAACAGAATCCCAAATACATAAAAGATAAACCTACAATTTCGAGAGGTAGGCAATTCTCCCCCAAATAATAACTCTTAAGATTAGAGATAACAATCACATGCCTTAATCCTAATCATATTACACCTTATTTACACCAAACAATAATAATTAACAAATGACTAAATTGTCATTTTATTCTTGCGCCTAAAATAGATTTTCAAATTATTTGGCGGACTCGAGATAGGTTTAGTGGGACCACTCAACTCAGTGGGGCACAAGACAGAAGGCACCGTAGGCGTCGATCTAACATTACTCCCCTACTAATAAGACACCTTGTCCTGAGGAGGAAGAAAGGAAACTATTATTGGATCAAGTTGTAAGACTCCCACGTGACGTCATAATTTGACAATTATTTCCATTTAATCAACATTTCTTTCCCACCTATCGATTCCTGACACACCTCTTTTAACTCCAGTGGCTACAAGAGAATTTCCACATCCTCAGTCAAAGTAGGGGCGGGCAAAGAAGATGACATATTATCACCAATAATACAGCTTAGCTGTAACACATGAAACATTGGATGGAGTATCAATGAAGGCGGCAATTTTAAATGATAAGCCACCACACCAATGTGCTCAGTGGTCTCATAAAGACCAAAATAGCATAGGGTGAACATTTCATTCTTGCATTTTGCCAATGTCTTTTTGTCAATCGGATCGAAATTTTAGATACACCCTATATCCCACCACAAACTGCACATTCTTTTGATGTATGTATGTTTGTTTCTTCGTATAGTGATGAGCTTTCAATAAAGATCTCTTCAATTCGGCCAACACACTGTCCTTCTCTTCTAAATATTAGAGACATCGGCATGGTATTGTGTCCATAATGCACCAAATGGGGTGGATCACGGTCATACAATATTTTAAAAGAAGTGGTTTGAGAAGTTGTATGATACAAAGTATTGTACCAATACTCGGCTCAGGATAGCCATTTCGCATACTACTTGGGTGCGTCGGATACAAAGCAACACAAATATTTCTCCATGCTCCGCTTAACAACTTCATATTGCTCATCGGTCTATGAGTGGTACGTTGTACTTCTTTTCAATACGATCTCTTGCATTCTAAACAACTCCCTCCAAAAGTGACTCGAGAAAACCTTGTCACAATCCTACACTACAAATTCTGAAATCTCATGCAAACGGACAAACTCTCGTATAAAAACAACAGTGACAGTAACAACAGTGTAGTGATGATGTAGAGGGAGAAATTGAATGTATATGCTCAACCGGTCCACTACCACTAAGATGACTGTAAATTCTTTTGACAGAGGTAAGACTTCAATGAAATTCATCATCGCCTTCTCTGGTAATGCCAGAGGTTGTAGCAAACCCTCAGGTGCCACTCATGAAACGGTGGTTGAATTCCCTTCCTCGGCCCATTTTGATTTCCTTTCTTCCATAAGTTTGGCTAGCCTCATAATCGACTCGTCCATCCCCATAGACTCGTGAACTGTCACTGTTGTCGCAGCAAAAGATGCCTGTGTGATTGGATGCATCCTTCAGGCTGAACCAACCCACCCTAGTTCCCTGTTCCAAGATGAAATCCTTTGAATCAATCTTCTCCAACCCCGAATAGTATGTCGTCAGCCCCTTCTGCCTACTGTCGTTTGATCCCATCGGATTGATGCCACGCGATTCCAATCTGTCGCTTGCTCCAATCCGCATGCCACTCAATCCCGTTCGTCTGATGTCGCTCAAGCCTAATCCACATGTCGCTCGATCCCGCAGCCCCAAATATCTTGAAAGCAATGACGTTGCCACCTAAGTAACCCCCTCAGGCCGAAATCACATCCCTTAGCATCGGTGCTAGCATTTTCTCATGTCATCTACATCGTCGCAGAAGACGGTGGGTGGTTGGAATGGAACTCCACAAAGCTCTTCATCATTACTTCTAGGGTTGTGAATCGCCCCTCCATGGACGAGAATCACCCCTACATGGATGAGAAACGCTCCTCCATTCCCGATTCGAGTTGGCTCGGCTCTCCTTCAAATTTTTCCTCCAAAGTGTCGAACTTCTTGGCCGCCAGTACTCTCAAATACGACTCTCATACCAAATTGATAGGAACGAGACAAGATTCTACAGAGATTAGGGTAAAATAAAATATTTTACTCTAGCTACATAAAACAACACAATCCCAAACACATAAAAGATATACCTACAATTCGAGATGTAGGCAATTCTCTCCCAAAATTTAACTCCTAAGATTAGAGACAATAACCACATACACTAACCTTAATTATATTAAGTTTTATTTACACTAAACAATAATAACCAACAAATGACTAAATTGCCTTTTTAGTCATGAGCTTCAAATAGGCCTTCAAATTATTTAGCGGGCTCGGTGTGGGTTAAGTAGGACCACTTGGCTCAGTGGGGCACGAGGTGGAAGGCATCTTAGACGGCGGTCAAACAGGGAACCACAAACACAATGAATATAGAAACACATTAAAACAAAAGTCGCACTTTTTTTATTCTTTTGCAGTTATTTCACAGAGTGAAGGAAGCTGAGCCAATATTTATAGAACTTCAACAATAAAGAAGAAAAACTTATTCAGGATAAGTGTTCATTACACTTCAGTAAATAAATAGTTACCTTTCTCATTGATCTCAATGTCTCCAAACCGTTTCAAAGCTAGCTTCAGTTGATAGCCCAATCTATGCTCAGATAAAAACTCAACCCAATCTGAAGACCAAGTGTTTATCTGGGGAGTGCTAAAGTAAAATAGATGACAATCAGAATTTGAGATGAAGGCAAGAATAGTTAGAAAACGAACTAATTTCCATATAAGACAGGAAAACGGTGTTGCATAATGATGGCGTGGACTGGTTGGTTTTTTCAGTGAAAAAATGACATTTATGGTCCTCAGTAGTATAGGAAAAATAACTTTGAGGACAATAGAATATACGATATGTATTGTTGCTCTCCAAAACTGAGCTAAGGTGATTGTCAAAATGAACATTGTACAAAAAGTAATGAAAGAGAAATGAGTGAAGTGCAAAAACAGACCTTAACTATTTACGCTGTTTTAGTCCTAGAGTCTATAGAAGTGCTAAATTAGTCCGCAAGTTCTTTAAATTGGAGCTTTAATTGTCCTCCATGGGGACTATTTCAACTTTAATTTAAAAATTCTAAGGACTAATTTGGCACTGCTATAGACTCTGGGACTAAAATAACCCCAAGTAAAAATTTAGGGGACTATTTAATCACTTTACTCGGAGAAATTTACCTGCCAATGGTATTATCAACATCAAAACCAAAGCACTTATCTGACTTCCCAGCTTTATGCATTTCAGCCAGCTTTCTTCCTAGAACCGACTGAGGATAGATGAATAGCTACAATAAAAATCAAACATATTTTTGAGCTTCAATAGATTAAGGAAGAATTATCTTCACCTGATTTCCTCTAGATGATCCAAACTCAACAAATTCCATGATAATAAAAGAACCACCAGTTGGTAAAGGTCCAAACTACAAGTCAAGCCAGTAGTGGCTATATATCACGATAAGGAACACACCATAGCAAAGATAAATTTACCAAACAAATACTTCCAGAAGAGTTCCAACCTTAAATGCCCGAGGAACCCGAATTGATTTTGTGCTATACATTGCATTCAAACCAATAGCCTCTCCTTCAAACATTGAAGGTCCAATTTTCCTGACAAGTCAATTTGCATATTGTACTTTTCCAATATAGCATGTAAATATATATATATACATATATATATATAAATATATATATCTTGTGTTGTGTATTATATATATATATATATATATATATATATATGTATTCATGCACTTTAAAAAAAAAATTTACCATAAGAGGATTAATCTGATTATTTCTACAGAATTCTTTTGGCAAGAAAAAATCTAAACAAAGAAAAATAGCCACTTTACTGCAAACCAGCAACTTTGATTATGTCTTGTAAGGCACGTAATGGATTCAAGAACAACGGTTATCAGGAACACAGAATTTGTAAATTTTCACATCCCCACATTAGCTTACTCAATTCCAAGCATGAAGATAACTAAGCTAACAGAAATAACCTTATGAGTATACAGCAGCCTTCGGATTATCTAAGTGTATCTCAAACGTTTATCTTGGTCCCTATAACCACCTATCTCTAGAACCATCCATTGTATCCATAAATAGAGCATTTCCACCACTGTAGCTGAGATTTGATTATTACAACAGAAATCCACTATAATGCCTAAGTTCTCAATTCCACTTTTCCTCTCTTCTATGCTTGTAAGCTTTTGTAACCTTCAGGCTTCACGTTTTGCTAATGCTATCTCCTTCTTCCATGGTATCAGAGCTCTTGCACTACTGCACCTTTTTTCTTTACTCATTATCGTTCAGAGATAATTTGGAGATGGATGACCCAGCAACATCGTCCCTAATCGGTACTCTTGCCTCTCCTAGGATCGATGAACCGATAATACCGCCATCCCTCAAATTCCACATGACTAACATTAAATCTATCACCAATATCTCCCTCTCTATCGATAATTTACGGAAACTGATTAGAGCTAACAGGCTTGAAAGATTTTTGGATGGCTCTTTTCCTCGACCTCCACGAACAATAACATCTGCTACTGGTGAGTATCCCAAATCCATCTTACTCCAAATGAATGGTAGTTCATCAAAACCTAGCTACTGCTATGTTCTCCACAATTTCACCCACCATCCTACCCAGTTTCCTCAATATGGAGACTTATTCCCAAATCTGGGACAACTTAGCTCACAGCTTCCAAGCCTCCAATCGATCCAAGGTCATTAAACTCAAAAAATGAGCTCCACAATCTGTCCATGAGGACAAAACTATGAATAAATGTCACCCAAATTAAGACTATAGTTGACAACATCGCAGCAACTGACTCATTGATTGACACAAAAAACATCATCCTTGGTATCCTCAAAGGGCTAACTCCCTCCTATCAAGCATTCAGAACAACTATCCGGACACATTCCTTTTTAATTAGCTTGGAAAAACTCTATTTCCTACTGCACAGTGAAGACATTAATATCTACCAGGAATTCTCTATTGAATCTGTCCAACCAAATTACCAAACAGCATTATACTCCAGCAGAAATCAAGACAAAAACCCCGTCCAACCGGGTCGTGGATGGTGTTCAAATTCCTTCTCTTGTCCAGCTCCAGGAAGTCTTCCTGACCATCAAGGAATCCCAATACAATCCAGTGCCAGATCTGCAACAAACTTGGCCGCAATGCTTTTCAATGTTGGCATTGTCTCAATCCAGGCTACCATCCCAGCAAACAACAGCCCACAGCCATGCTAGCAGCAACCCCAGCTCAGACCAATGGTTGGTAATCTAGATTGTGGAGCCTCTACACATCTAACCAATGAGCTTGCCAGCATACAACAACCTGAAACTTATTAGGGCAGTGATTAGGTCAACGTGGGCAATGGAATTCCATTCCTATCTAGCATTCTGGCCAGGGCTTACTACCAACACCACATCGTAAGCTTCGTCTTTCCAAACTCTTCCATATAACTAAACTCGCTCACAATCTAGTTTTCATATCACAGCTTGCTTTGGACAATAACTGCATTGTTTTATTTGAATCTTCTGGATTTACCATCAAGGAACGGACCACTCATCAAACTCTACTTCAAATATCAAACTTTTGAATCGAACCTAATAATTGTCATCACAATGGTAACAAGATCGAATAACGTGAAGAGCATACCCGTTAGTTTTGACAAAGAAGGAACCATTATCAGTATCATATCGGCTTGCATGATTGATGCATCCGCCACCAACTGGACTGATCCTTGTAATCTCCGTGGCCTTCCCTTCCGTTAAAATCCATTCTCGAATCGGGTCATCACCCAAAGACGCCACTGTGGGTTGACCAGAAAAACAATTTGCAGCATTACTCAAAATCACAGATTCTAAAAAATAAAACATGTCAAAAGCATTTGCACCATTCGAGTAGGGATTTAACCTTTTGGGAAAGAGGAGTGAGAGAGAACTTACTGGTTGTCAAATTAGGGGAGACGAGGCATTGCCGTCGAGAGGGCCGGCGGAAGTGCTGAGAAGGTGCGAAAGGGCTACGAATCGGAGAAAGTATTCCCGCGTGCACCATTGGTTTTCGGCTGAAAGAGTATACTTCTTATCCATTGAAAAAGAGGTTGGTGACTCCGTCCGCAGCAAACCGGGATTTTTTTAGGAAGATTTAACATTACCACTCAATGCCTACGCATTTATATACCTAAACATTTATATTTTACATTCATTTCACATCGTTTTTATGATTTTTAATATGTATATATTTTAAATTTTTATGTACAATATTTTATCTAATACATAAAAGATGTATATCATTTTTAAAATTAACAATAGTGTAATTTTTTTGATGTGATCTTAAAAATTTAAAATTTACAAACTTGCATGTCCTCAAGAAATTTTGATCGTTGACATGAATTTTTAGATTTTTTTTAGCAAGAAACATTTCAGATTTAAATTCATAGTCATCGAGGGTCCTAATTTCAGTAAGGTTATAATCAAACTGACTTTCTAGACAAGCTGAACCCGATTATACAAAAATTGGTTCGATTTAAATCCAATCAAAACCCAAATCAAGGCATTAAAGCACCTTTGAAAGTTTTGGATCATCAATTGAATTATCAAATGAACTCAAATTGAGATATTTATATTCAAATCGAGTGTTTCAATAAGAGGAATCTAAGAGCCCAAGCTCGCTTAATTCTAAAGTCATTATGGTTCTCAAATCATTAAATAATCCCCTCTGATTGGGGAATTAATATGAGTAGTTTGATCATTTGGTTGGGGAAGTTATTTACCAAAATACCAAAATACCCCTACTTCATAGGTTGGCCCATAGGCTATGATTAAATTCTCTCTCTTCACTTGAGGAGGATGGAGAAGAGAAGGAACTTCATAGTCTGTTTTAGACTAAAATCTCAAAAATAACTTTTGGTCTTTGTAGTCATCGACCGCCGTCGATCATTACCTGTCGCCCATTCTGAACCACCACAAGCATCCCCTACTTGCCATAGTCTGTGACCTTTGTTTGTTAATGATGCAGCCAAAACACAATCATAATGTGCAATGTCATATTGAAGACTATACGGTAACTTCCGACCTCCATAGCTACAAACCATTGTCAATCACCGTCTGTCGGCCGCCGTCAATCACCGTTTGTCGGCCGGCGTCAAGCACTGTTGGCCGCTTCTGTTCACCGCCATTGATAACCCCTGCTTGCTAATACCATATTTGAAATACAATAATAACATAGAACATCGTATTGAAGATTTAACGAAAACTTTTGAGAACCAGAACTTATGATCGTCATATTCAAAATAAAGTGATTTTTTCGGACTTCTAAAGCTTGTCTATACATTTTATATAGACAAATGTTGTATTTGGAATAAAATTAGAACACTACTCTCCCAATCGTGAGAAATGGTTGTATATTTGTATGTACTCACTTATAGTGGACTACTTTGATTGGGATATGTCCCATGATTTTTTTTTCAGGTTTTTCTATATAAAAAAAAAATCTTAATGTATACTCATGTTACTTGTTTGTTATATGTTTGTGTGTTGGATCTTCATGCAATGCTAAAAAGTTAATTAATTACTCTATCATTGTGACTTTACTAACACAACAATTTGACATTATCTATGGGAAACGAAGTTGTGTTAATAAAGTCTACGCTTCATTGATGGCTAACAAACAGAATACATGAGCTTCTTCTCTAACACCCATCATTCCAGGGTGTAGTCTCGAAGTCAGGGATGCCAAGCCTCTACTCAGTTTCTTAATGGTATACATCATCTTGCTAGACAAAAAAAAAACCTTCTCTACACCTCTTGAAGATCATGTATAGAGAATAGATGAGTCTCAATTAGATTATTCGACTTTTACGAGAAGCCCAACAAACTAGATGGGCGTAGTTACCTCAAAATTTGTTGATTAGAGGTACACTGTTGGCACCCCCTCAACACACTATAGTTCCTCATTAGGAAGCTATAGTCATGGACAATGCTAGCTCTACATAGTCACCTCCCATCTTCATGCCTAGCCCGAGGCTATCAACACATGTGGAGAACTTAACTTGACCTTACGCAATCTGTGACGAGTTATGACACATTGTAAGAGAAGAGTTATCTCTAAGGGATAGAAACAATTTCTTAGTTTGGTGTGGTTCTTAAGTGTCTTCTATATCACTTGAGAATGTCCTTCAACATCCTATTCCAATAGAGTTTCAACTTCCAAGCATTGATGTTTATGATTGTGTCTACCAGGATGAAAATGTTAATCACTTCAAAATCATCATGGATATACAAAAAACCTAGTTAATGCCATAGATAGTAAGTCAACCCATACCACTTTCTTTATTAACCTAGAATGATGGTTATTATATTTGTATGGTGGGAGTGAATACTAGGTCTGCAATAGACCGATGAGATATTACTGCTACTAAAGGTTGAGTTAATGGTGTAAGAAAATTGAATTGTCTTGTTAATGCTCAAATATAAATATTTGACTAGCTAACATGAATTAACATTGTGGTAATCATCTAACACCATGGAACATTAAGAATGATCACATTTAATAGTATAAATAATTATTGTTTTAGTACATAAAAAAATTCAAAATACCAAATATACTCAACTTGATTTTAGCATGCCTTTTAATTTTCAGGCCAACAAGCTAACATAGTGAATCATATAAAAGTTGTAGAATCTTCTCATAATGACTTCTATTGGCTTAAGTGGTGATTTGAATTAACCTCTTTCTTTTGGTTAGTTCACCTAGAATAATAATTAATAGATAGATTTACATCAATATTGTAGCTCTTATGCATGTATATATTTAACAACTAACTTTGATATTAATTGTATAGCATTTTAGAATCATAATCACATCAAAATATATTAATGTGACACAAGGTGCTAATGTAAAAAGTAGACCGACAACCATAACTCAAAACAAAAAAAGTTGTTGATAATGAAAATACTATGACAAAAGCAAAATAAAGTCTACCAAATAGGTTTTTTTTATTTATATTATTAGCATCATGATTGTTATTTAACATTATGTGTTTATATAATATTGATTATAAAATATTTTTATTTTAAAAAATATGGATTTTAAATTTTGAATGTTTCAATTTCTGAATTTCAAATATTTGAATTTTAAATTTGATATTTCAAAATTTAAATTCATTATAAAAAGGCTTTGCCTCAAATCTATCCCCCTTATAAATAACACCAAACCTTATTTGACCCCCCTTAAAAGAGCCAACCATAGGCCACACCAAATTTGATATTAGAGACAATACTTCCTAAGTCTCTTGGCTAAAGATATACATGTTTTTTTTTTCCAAGTGATCTTATACTAAGGTTGTAATATTTATAAATAGATATAATGAGTTTTTTATGCTCTTTGGTGAGAACCTCAAGAGATCAAAAACTTTTGCTTTAGTACAAAGTAGATAATCCACCCCTCTTGCTTTTTCTACTAAGATCTGCCCACACAACCTTCTCTAATAACATCATATATTATATATTTCAACACAAAAAATGGATCCATGAACACTATATATGAAGAAGTTAGAAATACTTCCAATTTTGATGAAGAACCTTTTATAGGAGGACGAAATCATGGCATGAAGAACAACTCAATGCTAAATGTAGTAGTTGGAGAATTGCCAATATTAACAGATATTCCTCTGCTATTAAAGACTTGGACACATCCATTTAACTTCTTAGAGAAAACTTTTTGAGGTCTAAGAGAATTATTATGGCACAAAATGGTAAAGCAAGAATAAGTGGACCAAGCATTAAAGCTTAAAGCAAGAAGATAAATGTTAATAATCAAAGTCAAATGATAAGAGAAAAATGAAGTCTATTAAATAAAGTTCTTATTTTATGAATGATTATTATTGTTTAAGATTATCTTTCTGCAATATATTTGTAAAATATTTATTATTTTTAAAGAATATTAATTTTAAATTTTAAATTTTAAATGTTTGAATTACTAAATTTTGACTTTTAAATTAATTTTTTTAAGAGTACAAGGAGAAAATTATGTTAAATTCATTAATATAATTAAAATCATTAATAAATCATTTTTTACTCAAGAGTAGACTATCACAACTCCTTGATAGGTGGAAGCAAGCCTCTCCTCATCTACACATTTGGCCATACCTTTACTTCTTCACCATTTATGCTATTTTGAAATTTATCTTTTTGTAAAACATTTATATATATATTTTTTGGTAAATGAATGAAAGAAGTTTGATGTTATTTTGATAACATTTCGAGTGAGACGCTCAAAGGTTTGGCTTGTTTGTCGGCTTTATTGTGAAAAGAGATTTGATGATTTCTTTTAACTAGTCACTTTATTAAGTGATTAGCTTTTTTTAAAACCCCTAGAGTTGCTTACTGCAATAGTCTTTTACACTTTTCATTCTATCTAAAAAATATTTTTCTTATATTGTTGGTCCACAAACTTCTACTTAAAACTAAGTATGAAGGGTTAACCTAGGATTTGCTATAACGGGACCTAGTTTTATTGTATTACTCAATAAGTGGGCTTTAGTCTATTTGAATTGAGTGAAATTTTGTCAGATTTTAACCAGAAACCGTACACACAAGTTCAGTTGAAATTTAGTTGAAGCTTGGAAAGAAAATAGTAATTGGACCTTTTTAAAGGATGAGAATATTAAAAAGATGAAGGTGATTTGATAATAACTATTGATATCTTAGGGATAATGGAAGAGATATTATGATAAATAAACACCATAAGCTTCAATTTTCCATTTAACACAAAATCTTCCTAAAGATTGCCCCTTATGTGTGGAATGAAATGGGTTTATAGAGTAAAAAATCTTTAATTATGGTATCATAGTTATTTTGAGGTAAACAACCATGAGGGAAAATTTCACCACTACTTATGTTATCGATCAAAAAATTTATGCACAATGAATTTCATGCTTTAAATCACTAGAGATATCTACTAGATCTAACATACATACTTCAATATTAATCTAATGAGTTGTAGCTACAACCCAACCTTAGCTATGAGGAAAAGGCTTGACATGTGTCTTATTTGACAAAAATCATAAGATAAGTAGCTTTATAACAAAGCTACCCTGGCAAAAAAATCTATAATGAAGGAATTAAAATAAAATGATAAACTACTTGTAAGATGGAGGCTAACATGAGTATTTGGCATCTTTGCCTCTTGCACAAAGAAGGTACCACACTTTAAGGAATTTTTCTAAGAGTTATGAATGAATTACTCTAAAAATCGAGTTAGAATTTTTCTTGTGAATTTCATCTAATGGTTATGTCCCAATAGGTATGGCTTCACTCGTACAATATTTTATGAGTATGTCATAATGGGTAGTGTTCTCAACAAACATGACTAACCAACCTCATGACAATTGAAACAACTAAACTTAAGTTAGCAAGATGGTAGATAAATTTGACATATGAGAATTGATCAACAAGCTTAGTTTAATTATTTTAGTTAACATAATGTCAATTGAAATCTCACACAAAGACTACCCCTAATAGCTGGTTTCATCAAAATTTTTTATGATGGTGAGTTGGTAAGTCGTAATGTCAAACCACATTCTAACATGTTGATTGCATATGTAGATAATTTGGATGAAATACATTATATAGCCAACATAATGCAAATAATGTGAACCACATAGATTGAGAATACGAGGGAAGTAAGTTTTAAAATTATGCCATATATGTAAAGGTAAGTTTGACCCACCTAAGGACACCATCTATCTTACAAGAAGTTATCCCTAATACATGAGAATGGACTATTGAAATTGAGGTGATGATTAAACACTTTGTTATTATGGAGACAATCGACCCAATAAAAAGATGACCTAAGAGCAGAGCTGTTAATGATCCGATTTCAGATCAAAATCGGCTCGAAATAAATTCAATCAAAAAATTTTGTCTTCTAGCTGAACTCGTTTATTTCGATTTGATCTCGATCAAAGCCAAAATTAGAATCACTTTTTTAGCAATTAACGATTTTCGAGCTAAAATCACTATATTCATAACTCTAAATTCATTAAGTTTGTTAACAAGCCGATTTTGAGTCAAGTTTGAGCCGAGTTAGGGTCTGCTAAAAAAAATTTGATTCATTGTCTCATAGCTCGACTCATTTATTTCGATATGTTTTCGATTTGAAACAAAATTCAAATAAATTTTCGAGCGATTAATTATTTTCAAGCCAAAGTCACAACCCAACTTAAGAGACTGAGGATAGACAGTCACCACTTATGTCTATCTTTATGGTTTTGAGTCTACCCCGTTAATCTCTAAGTTTTTTTGTGCTTGATATGTTCTCTCCCCAGTTAACTTCCATGTTAAAACAAAATGATTATGTTGAACATGAACTTTCAATATGTTATATTTCAGGGACTAAGAAAGTAACTCTCTAACTGGAGCATTGATGCGTCCTGAAACAGCTTCACATTATAGACACATTATATGTCTTAAAGAACTCCCAGAACTTCTCTAGTAATTTCTTATAAAATTTCCTAGAAGGAATATCTTATCAGTTCTCATTTTATGTTAAGATTTATATTTATTTGATATAAGACTGAGGAACACTGATCCAGATATAATGATTTGTAATTACTAGTAGCAATTTTTATAAGGAACTCCTTATAGACATTCTGTCCTCCATGATCATGCCTACTATTCAAGAAAGCATAAAAGAAGAGTTTCTTTGAGCAGGAAACCGCTTACCTTTCCAAAATAAAAATTAACTACAGAAAAAGATTCAAAACAAGCGCAAAAAATATTAGGAGAAAAAATACATAACAACTTAGTTTTATTTAATAAAAAAGGAGAGAAATAAATGAGGCTAAATATTCTTTCCCTCTATTAACTTTATCCCTTCTGTTAAATACAACTTCATGTTACATCAATCGAATATATCCCTGAAAGAGAAGCATCTAAACTAGCATTATTTTCATCAGGAAAATATAGAAAAGAAGAAAAAAAAAACACAGCTTAATAATGATTTGATTTAACAGATAAGAGAATAAAGCATCATCAATTTTTCAATCAACCACATTAAGAACATATTTTTTGCAGCCTTCCAAAAACAATCCATTTAAAAAACAAAAGATGTTCAACCAAAAGTTCTGTTTTGAGGAAGTTTATCATCTCTTTAGAAGCCTATGGACAATGCAACATTAATTACCTGACCTGAAAACCAATCTTTAGAGCAGCTCACTTTGCCTAGCAGTACTGTTCAACTTTCCTGCAAATTCTCAAATTGCAGATATGAAATCCTTTTACCTCTCTATAATAAGAAGGAACTTACTGAGCCTCAACATATACCACTCTCATGTTCTAATATTAGGATCTCCAAATACTGCAGGAATAGTTTCATGAATTGCTTGGATATTGCTACCACTCCGTGAATGTTGATGGAAAGGAAGAAGCCAAGTTCTATCATCAGTAAACTCCGCTGACTGAACTTGAAGCGAACTTGAGAAGGGAGATTCGAGTTTTTCTTCAAATGTGTTTAAAGGCAAACGACAAATAGGACAAGTCGATTGCATCTGCAGCCACACATCTATGCAAATCAGATGGAAGTTATGATGACAAATCGGCATTACTCGAAGCATCTCTTTGTCTTGGTATTCTCCTAAGCATATGGAACATCTAATTGAGATAAAGAGGAAAATTCAGTTCAAACAATCATAATCAACTTTGATTTTAGAATTAAGAATCAAACCAAGCATCATAATACTCTTGAGCTGCAACATTTACATGGTTAATGATATTTCCATTAGGAAATGGAGAAGATGCAAAATTGAATGAAGTCTCCTCTATCCCTGAGGTTGTCTATAACATTTAACTTTCATGTCATGAAACATTATATCAAAAGAGCATTAACATACATGGCACACAATTCTTATGCATCAACATATCTCACACCTAAACTTTCATATTTACCCACGTAGCACTGAAGTTTTTAATATCACATCAAAAAATATCATATCAAAAATAGCACCACTACCTCTTTTTAAAAATGAAATACCCATTTACATTCAAAGGTTTAAAGCACTAAAGTGATTTGTATGTAAATATGAAAATTTAGTTGTGAGATATGTAAATACATAAGAATTGTGTGCTATGTATGTAAATTTCCCTACATCAAACCATCATGGTGTTATTAATTTCCCAAGTTAAGCATGCTAAATAGAAAGAACTCATCACAATAAGTACATAGAATACTAGATATCCATAAAAAAAGATAGCACCTACTGAGCATCTTCCTTAGAGCAAGACGCCTCGTGACAATATTTCATCGCCGGAATTGCAGCGACGACAACTGGCTCAAGGCCACGAATCACATGCTCTGGCTGCCACATAACATGGTCAGAACTAGATAGTCAGGATTTATTGTATAAGTCCTGTAACACAACTTCTAATCGCTCAAGTAATCCTAAAGCATTTTCATGTAGACTTAAACTAACTGAAACATAATTTATTGAGCTTCCTGTCCATAATGCATGAACATACAAAGATGATCCATGCTTAGGTAGATCCACAAAAAGTTTACCCAAACTGAATGAATGAATTTTAAAGAGAACTAATATAGCAGGGATGTGTTGCCAAAGTGTTCTATTTGCTCATGATTGAATGATTACCAGGTTCCTGCATTTTCAATTTTAGTGAGCTTTGGTGTGAAAATAATAGCTAGAGGCAAAGAAGACAGTCACATTTTCATTTGTTTAGAATTGTTTATAGACCATTTCTTTTTTTTATTATTATTTAAATTCGAATTGTTTAGGGCTTATTTGGGATTGCTTTTTATTTTTTATTTTTACTTTTCCTGTAAAATCATATTTGTTCAGTGTATTTTTTTGCAATTTTTTTAAATTTATAAAAACAAATTAACTTATTTTTAAGAAAACTCACAACATTTAAAAGTTGTTTTGAGCGTCTTTAAAAATAACAAATCATGTTATATCATATCAAACATATTTCATTCTAAATCAAAACATAAATAACATAAAATAAAAATAAAGAAAACAAAAATAAAAAATAAAAAAAAAGACCTCAAATGGCCCTTGAAGATGTGATTATTTTTAAAAACTCTCAAAACTCTTAAAAGTCCTTTTAAGTGTTTTTAAAAACATATTAATTTAATTTTAGAAAAAAAATAAAAATATATAAAAAAAAACACACTAAATAGTTATATTTTTAATATAAAAAAAAAGCAAAAAAACAAAATTTATCCCAAACAAGTCTTTGTTAATTGGTCGGAGGAGCAAACCTCGCCCATTTTGTATACCTTAAATTTCCCCGAATGGAAGCTCTGCATTTCGAGAGCATGCAATAGATTTAAATCACAAAGGAAGAGGAAGCGCACCGGGCCCTGATCAGAGCGGAGCTGGATCTCAGAAATGGCAGACCGTGAATCGGAAG